CAGTACGCCACCGAGAAAACTAACAAATACTTTAAAACACACAGTATTACCATATCTTCATAGTGGCTTATATAAACCTTGAATCTCAACAACAGCAGTAACATTTCAGGGCTAATTCTCTTACCGCTCGTATAGCGATGGAAATTCACAAACAACATCATACTGCATGGCCAGAACTGGCTGTTGTGATCATCTTCTTTCTTAAGGACCTCAAAGAATTCTCCTGAAAACTTTTCAAAACTTTTTACTTCAAACTGCTGTGTGACAATGCATTTCTCAGTGCCCTTCTTGAAAGGGAAGATGCTATAAATTGTGCTGTTTACACAGTGAACACACACACACAGACACAAAATCTTCAGAAACTGTGTCGAGAAAAGAATCAGAATCGTTCCTTTCTTTAGCCATCCTATTTTTAAATCAAAACCAATAACAAGCAGAGGAGGACTAAGTTGAAGATGAATGTTCCTCTATGCTTTTCAGCTTTATAAAGCTACTTCTATAACATTCAAACAAATTGTACAGTGACTGACATGAACAAAATGACAGTAATCTGTCACCATTTCACATTTCCCACTAGGCTGATTCAAATACTTATTTATGAACCTTACACTTCAATGGTCACTTTGATGACTAAACCATAAATTAGAATGTAAAGTGAATATAAATTTGATTTTAGAGTAACAATAAATTGTCAGTGAAGTGGGATGTTATTTAATTTCTATTGACACACTATGAAAAAGTCAGCAACACCAAGATGTGCTACATCATAATAAACCCCAAACTTAGCAAAAAATGCACGCTAGAACTCATGTTTGTTTCCATGCTTCTGCCTTTAAAAATAAAAACACTTAATATTACGCTGGTTAGTTTTAAATATAAGCTCTTAATAATGTCAGATGACTTCATTACTTGTGTTTTCAATTAAACAAAGAGCAAGAATGATTTTTTCCCTACACAGCATGATAAAATTTGACTGCAAACACATTAATATAAATTTAGACTCTAAGGTTTATTATATTCTAAGGAAAAGCTTACTTTTAAGATAGAGGGCTGTTATTTTTCCCGTATTTACCTCTTTCTTTACAACTGAACTGGAGATGACACTGACACCTAATAGAAATTCTGCAAAGAACAGTTCTCCACTTACTAGAAAAACTTTTCTAGGAGGTAGTGGTGGGTGAGGGAATGACTCAGCAAAAATAAATCCATGTTACCAAAGCATCAGGAAGTCTTCCAGGAACTCATGTCTCAAAACAATATCTTGGCAAACTCATTTTCTTTTATCAGATCTTTTTTCGTTAAATGTTCCACTGCCTATTATATCATTACTTTGAATCCCACAAATACGTGCATAATCGAAGCATGCCTTTCCAAAACTGCATGCAGCATGATTATGCTTTGAATTTGGAAAACTTCTTTAAGTGTGACACATATGAAATAAATCCATGAAAATTGCACTTTTTTAGCAGTGTTACAACAGGGAAGTGGTGTCAGAATCTCTTTAATATTCCTTACTTTTCGAGTTTGATTTCCTAAAAACTTACACTGAATGATACTGAAATGTGATCCAATTTAAAACCTACTTCAGCAGATGTATTTTGCATGTGGGAGAAACCTCTTAATTGTTGAGAGTTAAAGCAACAACAATCAAAACCTTGTGGCTTTAGCAGTAACAGGTTATTCTGCATTATCCTGGTTATATCCTAGTGACAAAGACACCCTTCAAAGAACAAACACAGAGAAAGACAGGCACTTAATGCTGTTTGCTTGACAAAAGTTTGTAAGATATTTAACGTGTGTGCAATATGTTTGTACCAAACTCTAGAGTTTTAAATGTGTGTAAAAGGAGATTATCATATTCAGAAAATTCAAGTGGAACTTGAATAAAAGGGAACTAGAATCCTACAAGTCCTTTCTGTTTCTGAATATCTTCCTGGTTGAAAAATAAATGCCTACTTATAAAACATTTTAAAGCAAGAATTATGTATGACATTATTGAATGGAATGTGGCTTTCCATGACTTCTCCCAATCTTAAATTGAAAAGATTTATTTATAAAATTGGCCATTGCTATAAAGTAGCAAAATGAAAAAGAAAAAAATAGCAGCAGATTAAAATTGTTCAACTGATAATGAAACAAAAGATTCAAGACATGATGCACATCATAGAGGGGAAAGCGTCCTCCCATCAAGACTCTTGTTTTAGAGAATTGGTATCTTTTTTCAGTGTCTACAATAACAAGGTAATCTCTGTATTCACAGGACTCATTGAGAAGAGATAAGTTTCATTTTAAAATCTGTCCTGGACCTATTATGGGTTAGATGAATTAAAAGAATAATGTTTTCTCAAAAAAAATAAAAATTAAAGCTTTTATTTTAGGAAGACTTATTCAGCAAACTGACCTTTTGAGAGTCAAATGCTACCTGTATGAAGCTGGGGTATCCCAAACACTAACGTAATATCAATCAGGGTCATCATTTCAGCATCCCAGTTAGGTATCAATATTTCCTACCTATTTCAAGTGCTTTGATACCTTGATACTGAATTTTTTTCAGAAAGAAGAAGCACTTCTTATTAAAAAAGGTTGCACCAAGTAAGTCCTACTTAAATTTATTTATGGTTTAAAATACCTTAGTACCACTTCAGTCATCTATTTCACAGCAAAATAGTTATTATGATAGCCTCATTAATGCTTTTCTGAGTTATCAAAGATATGTTTACATTTTTACTCACATCCATCACAGGTCAATTTTCTGACATGATGACTGTTTCTATATTACAATACAGAACAGATTTTTTTGTAGTATTTTATTTTACCAAAAAATTGTTACTTTTTTTGATGCAGATTTCTGCAAGTGGCAGAATTGGACCCCATTCATTCTTGTCTTCCACCACCTTTCTTCTTCATTATTTTCTCCAGTCTCTAATACTTCTCTGCATAACAGACCTGCATAAATTGCCTCTCCAAGAAAGACTTCAATAACAAGAGCTGAAAAATGCTACTTATCACATACAGGTATGAGAAAGAGAAATTCTAAAGAAATAATTTAATTTACACCATAATTTTAATACTTCCTTTGTCATCTAAATTCTTTTGAATGTTACAGATTACACCCTTTCTCTGCAGCTTCCTTGCTTGCATATGAGAATGCTCTTCCTCTGTTTTGCCAGGGAATTTCCATATCTTTAAGTACTGCTTATTGTCTTAGAAAGGACAGGTCCTTAGACTTTCCGCATCCTAAAAACAGTATCTCAAAGGAATTGTGTATTTTTTACTCAAATTTGTGTCCTTCTGCTGAAACCTCTGTGACTCAGAAATTCTAAGAGCTGCTACCTCTATTCTCAAGCCTTTTATTTCATGGAGGCCACATGATGTGCTTTGTTTTAATGCTAAAATAACCAATTTTGTCTTATTCTGTCTGCTTTTGACATTGCTTGTCCTCTGCTGAGCTCTCTTGAAGTGTCTGCAGCATTGGTCAAATTTACTATTAATGGCTTAAATCTCACCTCTTGGTTCATTTGTTTGAGAGAAGCATGACCTATGGCACCTTAATCATCAAAAGAGCAGGAAAGATATTTATGTTCTTCCCAACTGAGACATCTCTCCAGCTTTCCTCATCCCTGGATGGGCTGAATGTTACCACTGGAGTCCAGGGGAGAACTCTTGCATAACTCGTCACACTTATGTGGTGACCTTACTGTTTTTTAAGATACTTTAATGGCATTTGTGCTTCAAAACATTAAGAGTTTTAAAACAGAAAGGAGGGATTGATGGCTGATACTTGTAGGATTTCAGCTGGTAGCTGACATGCATGCTTACATGTCAATTTTAGCTTATTTTGGGGTAAAAAAAAAAGCAGATAAAATATACATACATTTTTTAATATATATATTTCCCAGTCAAAGTGCATGTTGTAGAGCTTAGGGATATGGTTTAGTGGGGACTGTTAGTGTTAGGTTAGAGGTTGGACTCGATGATCTTGAGGTCTCTTCCAACCTAGAAATTCTGTGATTCTGTGATTCTGTGAATCAGAGGGCCCAGCTTCTTGTTGAAGTAAGAACCTAGCTAAGTGACCTGCTGGTTGTAAAAAGCACCATGTTAAAACAGCCATTGGAGGACCAGGTGCTTAAGGAATATTCATTTGGTATTTAACAGAAATACTACTGAGCTCTGACCAGTATCAGTAAGTGCAGACTTGGCATGGAGACACAGCTGAGGCATTACAAGTGTCCATAGAGAGTTCAGGACTAGAAGCTTTCTTTGTTTAAATTTCCAATGGTCACTGCAGATAGAGTGTTTTTACAAGAAGTAAAAAAAACATCTAAAGTTTCATGAAGTGTAGTTTGTATCTAAATATAGTACCCACTAGAAGGAACAGAGATGCTACAAATGCTACTGAGCCCACATCAAAGAGATCACATCAGTGACTCAACTTTTTCTGAAGAAAAACTTATCACCCTGCTTGGACACACATTTAGCCAGCATTTCATTAATTTACTGTAGGATTTTCTTGTTCTGCTATCGTTCTAGAAATGTATCTGCAGCTGGAGAAATACAACCTCAGAAGACAAGACTATTTGCAGTGGTTGTCACTGCCGCTTTTCCAAAACTATGATGGAAGGAAGAAGGAATGGGGAAAGGAAATCTAATATACATGAGGTAGTGCAAACAACTTCAAGGGAAAATGAGGGCAGTGCAGAGAAACAGAGTGAAGAGACAGACAGAGGTAGTAAAATAAACAACAGAAATGGTAACAGAAGATCATATAAACTTTTGATAGCAAGGCCTTTTCAGGCTGCTAAAACGAGCATCCCTAAATCCCCTGTTAAAACCATGATGGATAAATGAATGTTTCCCATCTTCTCAAACTGAGACATATAAAAACTACTGTTCATCCAGAGATATTTTGAGCAAGGATTTAATTTTTCCATCCGTAATGGCATAAGCCAGTAGACCGATGAATATACAACTCTTAGCTAAAATAAGAAAAACAAACATACCTGCCGATGAATAATCTCTAGGTTTGCTTTTGCTTTATTCACTAGTTCTTCTATTTTTTCAGAATCCGTTATATTCTTGTTTTCTCTGAAGGCATCTCTTATCCTTCTGATGGCATATGTTCTAAACATAAACAATAAAAAGACAGGTTCATAAATGTTCCACAGTTTATGACATTTCAATATTCTTTAAAACATACATATATATTTTAAATACATCTACACACACGCACACTTCACTTGCCTAGTTTTTTTTCTCTCTCTTTTTTTTTTTTTGATGTATATATTTATTTTTATTCAGGGTCTTGTCTTGCCTGAGTTGAAACACTGACCAGATTTTTTTAAATTAAAAAAGTCATTTTACTTAAAGTTGTAGGAAAACTTCATACTTCATGTATCAGTCAAGTCTTTATAGCTCTGCTTGTTATTACTGTAAACATACTGTTGGATTCCCAGTCTGGATACTATAAAGCTCAAGAACATAAAAACAAAACAAAACAAAACAACAAAAAAAACCACAACCAGCTCCCAAAGGACTGTATGTCAGCGTGACTGTTTTTATTCCCAGTATCCTAGAGGTCACTGGTCTCAATGCTAATAATAAACACATTATGTATACGAACGAGTTCCGACTTTCCACTGGAAGACTAATGGACCAGCCACACCAAAAATGGCTCCTCCTGTCACCCATTTCTTCTAACAAAGCATATTGCACCTTTCAGTCCAACACCTCATCCATTTCCCCACTCATAAGCAGTAATAAGTAGGATCTCTGTAGTCATCTCTGAAACTCTCCCCTTTCTTTCAAAGCCAATAAGAACCTTTATGCAGTCTGCAATGCATTGCTTAATAAAAAATAGGGCCCATTTCAATATTAAAATGCAATTTTCAGACTGAGCAGGACATGCTTTTATTACACACTTGTTAGGAGGATGGAAGGAGAAATGGCAGTACGCTGACCCTGCTCAGCTATCCTGGTAACGTTCTACTTCCCTATCACATCAGTACCAGTTTTACTGCAGAAGGTAAAACCCCACATGTGGCTCTGGAAGGAAAGGCTGCTGCAACCACCACAAATGGTATATAGTATTTCAACAGCTGTTCCCAATCTTTCATGAAAGTGAAACACAAGACACAAAATTGTCTGAAACGGGATCATGAACCCACCCAACTATGCTGAAAAGCGAAAATACTGGTACAGGGGACAGGGGAGGGGAGAGGAAGACTATGCAGGACCCCCAGCCAGCGTCACTCCACGCCATTAGATGGTGCTATCCAGCTCCTAATGCCGGATCCACCAGCCAAGAGGCCTTGTTTTCTCTTTGAGCTCATAAATAATACATTTCAATCACAGGAATCGGGATGGTTATGGAGTCCCACCCTGCTGCCACACACCAGCAGATGGTGCGCGCTTTTAATTAGGGCCTGTTCACCTATAATGTGACACTGGGGTGTGCGAGTGAGCGAGCGTGTGTTTGTATGTGTGAAGTTAATAGAATGTATTAAATATGGAAGCTCATTCTCGTCTGCAGCTGGTGTCCTAGCACGATTTGAAGGGGAAACTGCTTTCTTCTAGAAAATTATAATACATATATATATATATATAAATCAAAACCCCCACAAACCCAAATAATTAAGATAGACTGTAATTTTGTTGCTTGATAGTTAATGGATTTCAAATCATCGCCTATATACATGTAGGATTAAACTGTGCAGAAACATGTTTTCTGCAACAAAGGAAGGGTTGCCAAAAGATACACAGTCCTAACATATTTTTTTTTTATCTTAATGAAAAACAACAACAACAAAACAACAATAAAATGGTAAGCATCCATTATTGGGTACAAGTCTTCCAAAATGCAATACAAATAAGTACACTACCTAAAAAAAAAAAAAGAAAAAATAAAGGGGGGGAGGGGCTAAAGCAAATTCTTGTTCAGTGTAACACCTACAGACTGTTTTTTCTGTTCTGTACATATGGTGCATTAATTGTTTCATTTTCTCCTTCCTCCTCTTGTTACACCCAACAGTTACTCAGAAAGAAAAGATATGTGCTTAAAAACTGGTTAACTGGTTTGATGTTTTCTGTCTATTGTCAGAAAGTATGTTGCAGTTTTTTCATCTTATAGTTTCTTTAAAACTTTATAAACATTAATACCCAAATGAAGCTATTTTACACAGGCTTAAAAGCATAACCTTAATTCTACAGCTAAATCATTGTATCTCCAGTATATTCTAAACACGCTTCAAAGAATAGCTCTGTATCGTGGCACTACACTAAGGTTACACTGAGATTCAGATTACTGCTTAAGGAAGAGCTGAACTCAGAGCTCAAACGTGATACTATACTTGGCTGTAAAGCATCCTTTCCTCTCCACTGAAGGGTGCCAGGAGAACAACTCCAGCTTTCCAACACTCAAAAGTCTTTGAACATTATGTAACAAGTCAAGATATAAACAAATTTACTTTGTTCATTAAACAAAACAACAACAAAACTACAAAAACTAAACAAATAAACCACACAACTTTTTATAGGCTCAAATTGGGAGCAATCTCAGTTCCACATCTTAACACTCTCTACACTTCAAGAGCTGAGTGAGCACCAAAATCTAGCACTAACATATGGCTGCAAGCCCATGAACGACAGAGCTCTTTTGAAATAGAGCAGCATGTGTAGCAACATGCTGTAAGGACACACATGGTATGAAAAGAACCTGTTCATTTAGACACACGATCTGTTTTTGATAGAAGAACCACTCCGAAGATCTTCTGGGTGATGAAGAGAGACTGATCAGCTGACCAACTGCCCTTATGTTGGGTATTTTCAGTTCAATAAGCATAAACACCAAAAATCAATTGTGTACCATTTGAAGGTGCAGCTCGAAATGTCAGTGGTAGAGAACACATGGCTATCCTCGCAAATCCTTACAGAATCAACCCTAAAGTTTAGGTCTCTGAAGACAGAGAAAGACAAAAAGTGCATTGGCAAGTGGAGTGGTTGCTGCTACTCCCAGATGGGCATTTACCCGAACTGACACAAAGGAACCGAGGGCGTACTGCAGTGCAACCAGTTTCACTTGATGTGAGAAAACAAGAGATGCTGCAGTTCTGCCACCCTCCCCGCCAGGCAGAAACCCCCTTCTGCCACATCCTGACTCCGGCCAGCCTGGTACCTGACCCCGTGGTGAGCCAGTCCAGCTTGGTGCACTGACAGAAATCCTACCCACAGAGGGAGAAACGCTTATTTGTCTTTTTTTTCCCCCACACCAGTGAGTTCAGTTGGCTCTGTACAGGACTGGACAAGATCTGAGGAGGAGGAAACGAAGCAGTACTGATTTAGATGGGTGCAGCGTGTGACAGATGCCACTCCAAGAGAAGCTGAGCAAGGCGGGTAAGTTAAGTTTCTATCTCTGGGAAAGTTCTGAAAAAAATGCAGGAGTTCTCATTAAGAAACATCATTGCAAATGAAATTTGTAACGCATTTCACAATCTACTATTTTTCTCACCATTCTTTGGAATGTGATACCCTTTTTGTGATTCATGTGCATCCATTACACAATTAACTCCCAATTAAATCAAAACTATGTAACCAATGGGCAACAGATTCAGTGCAATGGCTTCAGACCAAAGCTGCTGCAGGTGGATACAAGGTAACAGATGTTCTTAAGTACAAAATAAAAGGAGGGGTTGGGGCTTAATGCAAGAGCAAGGCCAAATCATTAAGACAAACTCAAAGGGAATGGGGACTAGCTGCTCATGTTAAGAGACAACAATGGCCCCAAATAACAGTAAAAACCACAGAGTTATGGTTAAAAAAGTATTTTTCCTAATACTCAGTCATTTAGCTCTACCTTCCAAGAGTCCATCTTTCTCTTTCCCTGAAGGACAATCGAAAGCCTAACATGAGTCCTCATAAAAATGACGCCTGCAAGAAGAGAATGAAATCACAACATAGGTACTTCAGAAAATAATTGCTGCTTGGGGATATATTTTTATTTCAAAAATGTTTGCTTATCTGATGTCTGACTAGAAAATAAAATAAAAAATTAAATATGTCAGTCTCCTTTTCAAGTGTTCGCTCTTGCATCTTTGCACTCTGCTAAAGTGGAGTGTAAGAAAAAAAAAAAAAAGCTGAAATACTGTGCAGGCATACTTGCTTCGTACTATGAAGCATTATATCTTCAAAATAAACTCGGCCATATACTGTTTGTCTCAGCAGCACTTCACATTTACCAGTATCACAACATGCTAAAGGTTTAAGTCATCTTTCAAGGACAGCTTTACAAACACGTTGACACTTCTTCTTTGTGACTGTGAACAAATACAATCTATTAATGGATCACATCGCAGTTACAGGCAACGTACAGTTAAACATAATGGCTTTACAAATTGTTCATCATTGAGCATTTATGCAAATACAGAAGGGGAAGATTGTGACACACAACCTGTGCACACAAGACAGACATTGCAGGGGAAGCATCTGTTGGGTTAGAACATTCAAGACTTTAAAAAAAGGTATAAGCTAATAAGGAAAAATGCATTTTCATTTAAGTTGTATTTAATCAATTAAGGGGAGAGATCAATACTTAATCTCTGGGAAGCCCACTGTAGTTAATAATTCTGAAATAAAGTATGTGATGCTTTTACTTGAGTATGCAATGTGCAGAAGTGAGATACTGATATACAATATAAAAATATACCAAGTGAGGGACCCTTCTTGTAAAAGGTAGTTATTTCCTTTTGCTAACTGTATTTTCTTACTACCTCTCCTTCCAATCTTGGAACATATATTAATTTAAGGCAACAATGACATGTATTCTCAGAACTTCCCATTGTTACTAACAAAACGTGCACCAAAATTGATTGGCCTAACTGAATTTTCAGAATTACATGTAATTTGAAAATTGAAAGATTTTAGAATTAAAAAAATGCAGAAAATTAGTACCTTAAACTTTTATTACTATTAGTGAGGATGTCTCCATTACAGCATTAGTTCCAAGGGAAGGATTATTTCCATACAGATATGGAAATATGTATGTATAGTGTATCTATCTGCATTTTCTGTAAAGGTCTCATTAAAAGTCACCAATAACGGTCATGCAAAAGCCGCATGCAATTACCTCT